CTCTCTCTCTCTCTCCCTCTCTTGCGGCTCCCGTATTCACTGTGGGTGTTTGGTTCCACAACAATACTGAGGCGAGCACCTCTGAGCGAGTAGGGTAGGGAAGATAGGGGAAAAGGTGAGAGAGACCCTTGAGGCTCTTAAGTTGAGAGAGTGGATTTGCAGCGTGCGTCCCCTTTCACGCAGTTTATTTTATTTTCTTGTTGGAGTTATATAGAGCAGGGCCGCATTAATCGGTATCATCATTATCATAGAGCATCTCCACAGTCTCGCCTTGGCCCCCTACCGTGGGTTTCGTTGCTTGTTCGATCCTTCGCGCCGCCTCACGTCTTTTTTCCTTGGCTGTGGTGAGGCTTGTTTCTTACTGAGGCGAACACACTCACACAGACGCACGGACGTGGTGTGTGTGTGTGTGTGTGTGTGAGAGAGAGGGGGATAAAGAACGAGAACGGACACATTTCGTGAGGGCTTTCAGTTGCTTGTCTGTGCAGCCTCACTTGGCCTCTTCACTGCTGCACCATCCGTGTAGAGTGGGCTGAGTGTGTGCTGCTTCCGCGGGAACGTGTACTTGGCTTTGGCACTGGTTTGCCTCTTTGCTGTCGTTGCCACAACACCCGCCACTAGCACCGCCACCGTCGTCGTTGTCGTCGTTCAGTTCAGTTCTGATTAGTTGGCTGTCTGTATGCGGCGCTGTGTGAGTGCTGCTGGGACCGCGGCTTTGTTCACCGCGTGGCGCGGCCCCGCGCCTGCAATGGGCGTATTGGCGACACGTCAGTCCATGTGCTTCCACTCATCGTCGAAGTTCATGGGGCGGAAGTCGAGCGGATCAAAGAAGCTCAGCGATAGCGCGCCCTCCACAACAACAACCGCAGCTGCAGCAGCGCCAGCAGTTGCGGGAGGGGATGTTGCGGTTGCCGAGAAGAGAGCGGAAGACCGCACGTCCACAACAACAACCAGCAGCAACACGGATGCCACCAGTGCTAGTGGCACTGCACCCGCAGCACAGAAGAGAGCCGCGGATACGGCGAAAAGGCAGCGGGAGCGCTGCCCGCGCAAGGCGCTTCGCAGCACCTCGGATCGTGCCCCACCACCCGTGGAAGGGGGGAAAGACACCACGCGATTCAACAGACGGACGGAGGCTAGCAGCAAGCGCCGCGTAGAGGATGAGGGCGCCTCCACCATGACTCGCGACGAGGAGAAGATATTGGCCGAGCGCGCGAGCATCACGAAGCTGTTCATGGTGTCAGACTCCGTGGCCTCCATCTTCTGCGCGCTGCCGCAGGACCAACGCTCGATCGACAACTACCTCAAGGCGGTCGACAAGGCAGTTATCCCGAAGACGGCGTCGCCACCGCGCGCGCAGAGCACTGCCGACTGCGATGCAGCGGCGGACGATGCTCCTGACGACATGGACGCCGCAGCACTCGTTGCTAAGTCGGCGCGGCAGAACGCGTCGACGGCGCGTCGCGAGATTGCGCAGCGCATTCTCTCCGAGGAGCGCGCCGATCACTCGTTGTGCATCCACGTACGAGACATGGAGCAGCTCGTGCCGCCGCGCCATCTGCTGCAGAACCCCGTGGTGGAGGCGCCGAAGAAGGCGGCGGGCCCCACAGCCGCACGGCAGCGCGGCTCAGCGAAGCGCAGGCGCAAATCAGCGGATAGCGGGGCAGCAGCCGAAGCGACAGCAACAACGTCGATGAGGTCGCACGATCAGGTGTTGGCGCTGCAGCAGTGGCAGACAAACGCGCTAAAGAAGGCGCGCGAGTCGCAGGAGCGACACCAGATACCGGAGGACTACCACGCCATCACGCGTGTGCGCTTCCACGACCCTCACAAGGAAGATCTTACGGTTGTGCTGGGGCGCGGCGGCGGCAAGTCTGTCGTTGACGTCCTCGCAGCGATGAATCAGAGCCTCAAGAAGAAGCAGACCACACTCAGCACTGAGGGCATTCTCGACGATATAGGAAGTGCAGAGGGGGAAGAGGAGAGGAAGGCATCAGCGGTGTCGCTTTCGATGCCGTTCGCCATCAAGCCGCTGCTGTCGGTTGTGGCGAGCTGCATTCCGCGGCGCGAACCCGCGCTGGGCTCGCGGTGTGGTGAAGAGACGTTCTTTAGGTCTGCCACCGCCACCGCGCCGCGGAGGGCGAAGAAGTTGGACCCCTCCACTGCAGCTGCAGGGGTTGGGGATTCTGGTATGTTCTTGGCAGATGCGGAGGAGCTGGGGCGGTGCGTGCCTCCCATGCCGCGATTCACGACGCGCGTGACGGTGTTGGTCGAGCACGACGAGCTGGAGCCGGTCGACTTGCTTTCGATGGCGGAGCGCAGCACAACGCGGCGGGATGAGCGTAGCAGGCGGGCACCACGAGGAAACAAGAGGCCCCATATTTACTGCTTGATCGCAGACGGTGGGGAGTTCTGAGCCATACGAGGGGACGCAGCAAATATGAGAAAAGTAAAGGCAAACACAACAACAAAAAAGAAGCAAAAGAAAATCAGAGCCACTGAAGAAAAGAGAGAGATAGACGACTTGTGAGAGTCTGTCTCTGTGTGTATATGTATCTGTGGTGGGATGCACGGATGTATCTAGTCTCTGGATGAGTATATATGCAGAGACTGTACGCAATGCGTATACCTATTGCGCGTACAATCACGCCACACACATATATCCATATTATATTATATTATAT